TGAAGTAGGTAGTTTACTGTCCACTATCTTTTCTTGTCAAATTTGCAGTGCTGCTGCAATGACAGCCCTTCTGGTCAGCCAGTAGCTCTGGAGGAGACTTGGACTGTTATTTTCCACCTGCCTCCCCTGTGACTGCTCCTGATGCCTGAGTGATGAGGCTGAATGGAGCCCATGCTCTGCTGCTCAGCAGATGGCATTTTCCAGTACATCACTATTGGAATGGCCCCCACAGCATGAGGGATCCCGAGCTGTTCAAGGGAGCACCTTTTGGCTACAGCAGGAGAAAGAGCCTTGACAATTTGCTGTTTTCTAAGATACCCAGTAGCAAAAAGGAGATTTACACAGAGTCCTGACACGTTCCAATATGCCATAATTCCCTGCCCAAGTCCCCAGTGCTCTCACTGGAGCTCTGCTCAGTGTATTTTACACTGATACGATGATGAAAGGTCACACCATCTCAGAAGGGACCACACTCCTCTGGGGAGTAACATGAACTGGATATGCTAATCACATGAAGCTTCCAGCAGAGACTGTTTGAAATTATCAGCATAATTTGGGGGTTAAGAAATGCCCTGACTGATACTCACATTTCTGATGGGGTGCCCAGGCAGTTGACCACCGGACTCCTGTTCATGTTCATGAGGCTCATTGCCCAGGACCTCCTCAGAAGAAAGGCTGCTCAGCAATGCCCAGGAACTACCTGGTCCAGGTGGGAAAGATGCTCCAAGACAGAGTTGTCTCCTGCAAAACAGAGGTATTGAAGCCTCACTGGAGACAGAAGAGGATGGTGAAGTGACAGAGGATAGGAATCTCAATCTAGATGTATACTGGAGCTGAAATGGATGTCAGAGTGGCTTGACCTGGTACTCCAGTGGTACAGCTTTGAATTCCTTTCTTTTGAGACTGTAATCTTGTTACTTTTGTGTTCCAGCAACTATTACTAAAACTGACAAAACAAATTTGTAATATATAAAAATCGTGTTGCAATAGATTTAATTGATGGAGGCTCTCAAGTCAGGGTGAATAGTTGTAAGTCAGTGGGGAGTAGCATGTAAGCAGAGGTACTGCAGGAGATGGTTTAATTGAATGGGCCCTGGATTCTTGCTACTATTCCCCTCAAATGGCTTCCTGTGTCCTTCTTCCACATTCCTTTGCCATGCTGTCCATCAGTTCCTGGATCTGTAACATAGGAATTATGCTCTCCTTGTAAAGTGCTTTTAGGATCAGCACAAAACTCATACTGTATTTTTATTTTAGTTCTGGTGAGTGGAGAAAAAGAAAACCCTTTTAATTGTGAACATAGGACAAAACTAATGTAGCAAGTACAGGTTCTTTAGGAAAGACAGACAACTGTGTCCAAGAACTAGTCTTAGTTCAATGTTTCCAGTGTTCCTGATTTGCAGGAAGAAGTGATTAATCACAAAGTGAAATCTATTCAAGATTAGCATAAATTGCAGAAGGTTGTAAAAGACTCCAGATGGATTTGAATTATTTTAAAAAACCCAGAAAAAAAAAAAACAACAAAGGAAATGTTGAGTTGGATGAACATGGACTAATTGCTAAAAAAAACCCCAACTAAACAGTCTAATGGAACATCTAGAATTTTCAAAAGTCAAGAGTCCAGGCATGGAGATGTCTGCCCAGGACAAGCAAATAGGGTGCTTATGGGCTGGAGATGCAATACCTTCTGACATTTCTACAGAATACTGATACCCTTACTCCTAGTCCCTCAGTTTGAGCCATATCACCTCAAAAACTTACAATAAAAAAGGCCTTACAGCAAGGAAGAGAGCAGGACTGTGCTGCAGTTCCTGTGGAAGGGGATGTTGAAGCCTCCAAGGTGATGACACAGTGGGAAATGCTTCCTGCCCCAGGGAAATGATGGGAGCAGTTCACTGCTGCCAAAGGGCTGGGGATGGTGAAGCTCTGGGCCTGGGTTTTATGAAGCAGGGGATGGTATTAAAACATTCATAACTAATGTCATTAAAACATTGGTCATGTAGTATCCCACAACACCATCTGACATCCTGTTGCTCCTTCTTGAAGCTGGAAGACACCCTGGTGTCCTGTGGTCGCAGCCTCAGCAGTAACCCCACACAAACACAAATACAGAAGATGGAGTATTAATATGGCAGAGTATTAAACTTTTTTTTCCAGTAATATAAACAGAAAAAAGTTTGGAAGGAGACTTTCTTCCCTGGCCAAGAGCAGCTGCATGACTGGCTCACGGGTTATGGGATGCTCCTTTTCTTTTGGTGGTTGTGGCTGTACATGGGCAAACTATTGGCCCATTTCCAACAGTAACTTGATTTAAATTTAGTGCCCACGTAGGAACCAGGAGAATTTTATTATCTTGATTTAATTCTTCATTTTCTTTAGAAGAACTTTTATGTCCTTTTGCACTTTGGAGAGGTGCAAAGTTAATAGATTGCTTCTTACAGATAGACTGCAGGGATTTCATTTTTTCCAAGGTTAATCTGCTATTCACTGCAGTTTATCTGGACCATTAAGACTCCAATGAAATCAGGCAAAACCTGGCATCTGACATCAGATCTGTAACTGTCCCCAGCCCTGCTGCACACAGGTGCTGTCCCTGGGGCTGTCCTGTCCCAAATGCCAGTGTTGTGCTGTGCAGGGGAGGACGGGGTCATCCCAGCACCTGTAAAACACCAGGCAACAGCTGGAGAAAGCAGCTTTCCATGTATTTGTTGAACAAGGGCTCCTGGCTGCTACCAAAAAGGGCAAACCTTCTCAGTAATCCTCCTCTTTCCCATTCCTTCTCCTTTTGCAGGATAAGAAGTAGAGTTTTGTGATTTTTTCCTTAAATAACTGCCCATTATGTCCAATGCTTCCTTCTGTGCATGTCCTGACTCTGCCAGCTGCAATTTAACAAAAATAACACCTTAATGACAGCAAAACAAAGGGTCAGGAGAGGTGTAACAGAGAGCAGGAGATGCAAGAGAAAATGCAGCTTCAGTAGCTATTATTTCGAGTTCTCTGCTTCAGGGCCTCCAGGCTGCCCTCCTTTGGCTCCCCCAGTGTCTGTTTGCCAGACAGGGACTTTTTGCTCATCTGAAAGCACTGAACTGATAGCAAGAAGCCCTCCCCCATCTTGCACAGGGGTGGCCTGGGCACCAGGCTCTGGTGCTGTCTCCTGAGACTGCAGCAGCAGCACCAAGTGAAGTGGATTTGAAGGCCCAACGTGGTGTTTTAATGAGTGTCTTTCTCCACAGAGCTGAGTCTTAGCTCAGAAGTGAAAGGAAACTACAGCCTCCCTCTGAGGAACAGGTTGTGGCAAACGTTTCACTTGAAGAATTTGCCTTGTGAGCTGCTCCCCTCCGAGCCTGGTTAAAGCACTGCTAGGTAAGGATGGTGTGATTCATACAGGAACCTCATCAACTTGGGCAAAAACATTGGCCTGCAGAGCTCCAGGGACACATGGAGGCTTTCCAGAAAATAAAGGTTTATCACGTAGAGGAACACAGTTCCTTAGGGCCCCTCTACCACAGGGTGAATTTCTGAGCTGGTGGAAAATGGATACAGACATTCCTGCATCAACCAAACCCAGGCATCTGCTCCACCTGCGTTCATGTCTGGCACCAGCTGAAATGAGAACGCCAGACTGCGACCGCCTAAGGACACCCACAAGAGAGTTTGTACTAACGTAACTAAATTAATTTCAAACAGATTTGAGTTAAACTAGTATAATTATCATGTCTTGACAAGGTTTCAGCTTATTTTTGCATATCTTTTCCCTGCAGAGTGGTGATTGCCACTGACAAATGGCATAATCTAACTCTTGCTTAGTTAAGTCCGTGGCACTTTGTTGAAGACAACAGGGATTACTCTGGCAAAGCCAAAATATCTGTCAGGCTGTTAAACATGTTGCATATTTACTGACACCCCTGGAGTCAGCTAGCTTTGTTTTTTTCGAAGGGATGAAGACAATAGCTTAAACTGTTTTTGAAAGGCTTTGAAACAGTGTCTAAGGAATAAATATGAATGGCCTGTAGTAGTTACACTTGAGACTAATTCTGATCATTGCAGCCGATGACATACCTGTGCAAAGCCACTGTAACTGTGCAAAGAACAGAGCCTGCAGGGTGTTTTCTCAGGTTGGGGTTTTTTTAAAGAGTGTTTTGTGACCAGTGGGACTGTCTTTCTTGCAGAAGCACAGTGCTGCTCCAATGTACACGCTGTCATCTGTTCCATGCTAATAAATTAGCATCTGCAGCCACCACTGCTGCCTGTCAGAGCCGGGTACAAAATTGAGCTGTTTGATCTCGGTGCCACTGAAGTGTGTCTGCACGACTGTGGAAGATGCACATTATCCCATCTGCTTCCCACAGACCCTCCATCAGGTTGGATGTTTCAAGGTAACAGATCAGATGCGATGAATTCCATAGCAGCCGACTGGCTTAGAGACATCCTGCTTTGTCACGGCACTTAAAAATCTGACTTAAGAGCAATTTTATTCCTTCACAGCAGGTCACTTAAGCCCTGTCCACACTAGGGAAATGGCTGGCTTTGGCCCAGCTCCCTTTGTGCTCAGGGCTGTCCCAGAGTGGCCGTTTTCATTAATGTGCCAGGTCACTCCTCTCCAGGAAGGCCTTGCAAGGCACCAGTTCAATTGTCAGCAGCTGCTGGTGGCCAGTTCAGTTTTGGGCTGCTGCTGCTGCCACTTGTCCAGATGGAGCCAGCTGTGGTGGGACTTCTGGGGGAAAACACCAGAGGTGGGAGGTGGCACAGTGTCCCAAGCACTGGAATTCCAGTGGCTGGGATACCTGAGCACTGTGGTGGCAGGGCTGGAGTGCTGAGCATCAGCCTCACCAAGCCAAGTGTGTCCCTGCCACGCCTGCACACTGGTGCTGTTGCACCCACCCCCCCTCCCCCCAGCTATTCTCAAAATAAAATCCTTTGCTGGACTTGCCACGTGCATTTTCCTCAGAAATACACATTCTGTCTAGGAAGAGAGAAAAATTAGACAACTGCAAGTTTGATTTTGAGTGTAATAAAACTAGTTTATATACACAGTAACATGAATGCCACAGAGTACACAGCAAAGTACCACAGCAAACCAGAGTGTAACTGCCCCTGATCACAAAGGAAGGCTTGAAGTTTATATACTTATTGATATAAAAATGTGTAAATATCAATATGAAGCACCAGATAAAGCAATGCAACCAGGAATTCCAAATACAAATTACCCACAAGAATTGAGTTGAAATTGAAAAAAAAAAAATTCCCTTATTCAAGGCATTTAAAGAAATCCCATTTAAAAAAGTCCATTGATTTTGGAATCCCTAATTTAAAAATAAATTTCCCCCTTTTATTAAAAACAAGAACATAATCTTAAATGCTCAGCATAATTAAGTTTTAAAAGAAAAAAACCCAAGGATTTCAACTGCAAAACCTTCTCATACCAACAAGTCAAAGGACAAAGAAACAGAAGTTTTGAGTCATTTTTGAAGAGGTGTTATTTATGAAATGACCATTTAAAAATTTACACACTCTTAAATATATATTATATATACAATATATAATATATATATTTTCAAGCAAAAAGGGGCAAAGAATACTTCTGGGATACAAAATTTATATACATACATATATATATTAAAACATGCCACATGCACTCATATATATATGTATGTATATATATAAATTTATGAACAAATATTCCCTCCATATAAAAAAGCTCCAACCTCTTCTAAATCCCTGAAATCTTCCCCTTGGATTTATGGAAAAAAAATATCTTTATAGTCTGAAGTACAAACCAAATTCTCAGATTCTGTAGAGTGGTAAAATGCTTATGTACAGGTAAGTGAAGTATTTCATTTCTCACTGGCAACTCTGCTTGATCTGAGAGCATTCTGTGGTTTCCAAGTAAATGCTGAGTGGAGCACCAATGCAAGGAGACCTGTAGGAAATTATTTAAATTACATTCTACACCCACTCAAAATCCCCATCTTTCTAATACTGCATCCAGGTGAATAATAAAATCCATACAAATGTCTACTAGAAATTCTCTGCAGCACAGCAGGGAAAAAGACTTGCTCCTCCTTTTGGAGTTGAGGGTGCCCTAAAGAAATTTCTCTCCAGTGTTTCTTTTGGAAAGTAGTTTTTGTGTACTCTTCTGTTGCAGTGTTTGGAATCCAGATGATTGTTTACAGAATTATTTCCACAGGTGTATTTTTACAGAGGTATTTAAAATTCTATTCTGCACTTCTTCGATGTTACCTCACTGAATAACTGAATCATCATCACAACTCTCTCTGCACTGACTGAAGGGCTCTGATTGTGCTCTGGGTTTTAGAGAAGTTTTAGCAGAACCAACACCACCTCTGCAAAATCAGAGTAAAACTGATGGTCTAGTCAGGCAGGGAATAATGGCCAAGTACTGTTTGTACAGAGAAACAAACAGCCAATTTGGGGAAAGGGGGAAAAGAAAGTGCATTAAAAGCTCTGACTCAGTTTCTACTGTATCCCTCAGAAAAGTTAAAATTGATTTAAATAAAAATAGGACTATTTCATATATATTTACATATGGATTTACTTGCTATTATGAACAAAAAAAGTTAATTTAGATGGGACATGAGAAACAGTTACATTTTATTTCAGCAGCAAATACATGTTAAAATTAAGGACCTACAGTGTGAAGCTGCTGAATAAATTCTCTACATAGCTGAACCCTAACACATAACTTACTTAAATAGTATATTTTTCTCTGTAACACGTGGGAATTCCCTTGTGTTAACATGTCAAGGTGATCCATTCCTACCTTGTGGGTGCTGCTGGGATGTGTGGAGCATAAAAGCTTTAAGGTGGAACATTTCTGTAAACGCTCCCGTGCATTTTCATCTGTGCACCAGTAACGTGGTGTCCCAGCTGGAGTTACTGGTTTCATCAGGTCTGAATGTTGAAGTGAGACCAGGCTTCTATGTTTGGACATTCCAGGGGCTCCAGATGAAATTTCTGGATTCCCTCATTCCTGAAAATTTGTAGGCAAGCTTTTACTAGTAGATTCTCTTTATATTCACCTGGTTATGCATATTGACCAGATCAGATCTGAGGTTTGACAGATAATTAGTGAATAAGTCATTCCCACTTAAGGAATACAAACCTAACCCATTTTCCATAACATCTCAGAGTAGTTTTTTCAGCACTCCTGTTGGAACAGAGGTTGTGTGCAGTACCTCCCCTGCCTACAGCAGGAGCAGCACATCTCACCTTCACCGCTTCTCCCACACTAATTCCTCACCTTCCCACAGCAGAGTGTCTGTAGCAGATTGTCAAAGCAAAAGGCTTCTCTCAATGCCTGGTCAGTCCACACCAACTGACTTGTTATCCACTATTATTCTCCCTGTGCAGATCCCAAATTTGAAAGCCCACGATTTTGTTACTTCAGGTTTATGCTGTACTACAAGCAACTTAAAGGGACCCAGTCACATAAACCCCAAACACAAATCTCATGGAACAGATCAACCTAGTCTCTTATGAAGTACAGCATTCAATTTTGTAAAGTATTTTGCATCTTTATGTGGGCAGGATTATTTCTAGGGCTGTTATGAAAAGAGTAAGATTCCCACCAACTGACCAGCTACATTTCAGGTTTTTGACAAGGCACTAAACATTGTGAATCCAATCACTGTGCTCTCTCTGTAACATTAGAGAGGGTTTTAATGGCTCTAATAGGATCAGAAACCACTCATCATAATTCTTCAAACAAGCATTTGATTTTCCCAGAAATTAGTTTGCACTGGAAAAATCTTTAGAGTTCATGTTAAAAATATTTGAATGACAGCTTTTATTAATAGAAAAATATATATTTACAGTCAATACTGTTATCTTAGATTTGCAGCTCTTCCTATTTCTTGAGCTCAACTGAAAGTGCGACATTGCTAAAAAAAAATTCAAGATCTGTGCACATATTCAAGTAAGTTCTAACATGCACAGCCAGGGGTTTTGTTCCTGTCGTACACAGGATCCTGTTGCAAACAGAGCGGGTTTTTTTCCTTTTGCTTAGCAATTATGCTGTAGCATTCTTAGGATTTGCTTACAATCAGTTTAATGCATACATTCCTGTATATTTACGTGGCACAATCTGGTGCCAGGATGGAGAACCACCACAAACACAAGTTACAATCATCAGTTATGGGCAGATCTGCAAAGTCAGCCTCAGGCTCCTCGAGGAAGAGCTCAGGCCAGATCAGGTTTGACTACATTGACCATTCTTTCTTTTTTAAAGAAAAAGACCACACGACATTACAAAATGCTAAAGTTTACCCAGTGCTGCACAAGAAAGAGATTGGTAGTGAACATCTATCCATGCTTGATTATACTGCAGAGCTAAAATGAGTACTGGTTCATCACAACAGATACAAACTGAAATTAGATAGCTAGAGATACAAAGGCGTCGGACCAGCTGCATCAACACGAACGGTCGGAGAACATTCAAAATTCAACTTGGCATGTGCACGTTGACACGGGAGGGACACTGGGAACACGTGTCCGCAAACACGGGAACACCCACCGGCTTCAGGGAATCGCTGCAATGGCGAGTGGTGTGAGGCTCCTGCCCAGGGTAGCTGGGAGGTCGGGTGCACACACACACACTATGGAACAAACACAACACAGAGCACACGGGGAACAAAAGCCCTACTCGTAGCTCACACACTGACTAACAGCTACTAGAGAGTACACGAGTGCCTTGCCATGCTCGCCGGGTTAACCTGGGAGAGCATTGCCCTCCTGTGTCCAGGGAAAGCAGGGCTGCACCCAACGTGGGATTCTTTGTAAAGGTTCTTCTACGAGCTGCTCAGCAGTAGTGTAGAAACTTTCTTTCCTGATGTAGTGGAGGTACCTCAACTACACACATTGCACTTGGGCTTTTAATGCACTGTCCTGTTTTTCTGCATCAATGCCGCCATCCTAACCTTTTTGCAAAAAAGAGAAAGAAACAAAAAATATATATCACACTAAAATATATTATCCTTATCCTTGCCTGATCCTTCACTGATACAGGTGAATCAAACAACAGAATAATCATCAGAAGTTTCAAAAATTCTTCAGGAAGGTCACAAAGACAGTCTATACTACAGCACAATCGATGTAGGCTTCCACATGCCCTTCAGCTTAGCTCTGAGAGATGCCAGAGAAGAGCAAGATAGACATGTCAGCCCCTCCAAGGTAGGGTGTGGATCCAGAGCTAGTTTTGCTGACTTTGAGCCTGCAGGACTGTTTGTTCAGTTTCCATGCATCTGGTCCAAGCATGCATATGCTGTATAAAGTGGCTATTTGTTTCAAGGCTGAAGTGAATGGATTCCTCACAGTTTTAACAATTAAAAGGAAATGTCAATCCATAAAAAAAAGAACACATGGATATCTGTGCATTTATGTGCCAGGAAAGTAAAGGAAGGGGCTGCAGATCTAGCGTCAGGTAAAGGCTGGTGTGTAAAGTGAACACTGTAATGTACAGCTTTAAAAAATAATACAAGAATTGCACATAGATCCATAGGAGAGAAGCACAGGCTCATAACTAGGGCTGTCTGCTTTCCATCACCTGGGTCAGAATATTCAGGATCACTTTTTTCCCTGCATCCAGATCAGTTCTTCAGAGTGATTCAGGAAACAACTCACAGCCTGGCAATACTGAGCAAAGGTATTGTCTGTACAACTGCATAGGTTCCATGGGAAATGGCTGTTAGGGCATGGAAGGGACTCAGCAGTGGCCTCTAAAAGTGAAAAAGCTCCTTCAGGTTGAGTTTTTAGAAATTCTGACTCTTTAATTCCCACTAATTCCACCTCTCATCCAAAACTCTGTCTGTGGTGCTCCTTGAGCTCTTCTGACAACATTCCATTTTTGGGGTGTTGTCTGTTGCAACATTAGAAAACAATAGTTACAACAGACAGAGACAGGCAGCCAGACACTGCTGTGGGGAACATGGACCACGATCCTGTCAGCTGTGGCTGCCAAACTTAACAGTTCTCTCAGTAATTAAACAACAGTGTTTTTGCCCCCTTGTTTTTACCCTTCAGGGAACTACATCTGCAGTAGAAGTGTCTCCATGTGGCCTGTGAGCTACACGCAGACAAGTTTTAAACATTTCTATCTCCTGCCAACAAACCAGCAGAGCCAATTTCAGTCCCATTTTGCAGTATGGCCCAAGTGACAAGAGCAGACCAAAATAAAACAGAAGAGGTGGCTGTTATTTTCATCCTCGATTCATAGCAGTGATTGTCAGAGAAGGTTATGTATGTCCTACCCATTTCAAGTCAGGCTTTAGTGCCTTTTGTGATGGAGGGGGAATTTCAGTGGCCCACCATTGTCTTGTTCTTGTATAAATGCAGTTATGGCTACAGTACATCAACAGTCCAGACTGGTGAATGGCACCTGGGAAACAGGATAGACAAAGTGTGCATATTCTGCTTTTTAATGCAGAGGTCATAAGCTAAGGGTAATGGTCTGGTTAAGGCAGCGTTGTTGAACTCATGGATCCATGGTTAGACAGGGTATGGGTAGGCAGTGAGGCAGAGAAGGAGGGAAGGGGACTGAACACAGATGCTCACTGACACTTGCCACAGTCATCAGGAAAAACACATCTGGGGAGGAAAATACAGCAAAGTCTGTGTGTGGTTGAGACCAAAGGAAAGAGGAGCACAGCCCACTTGTGGGTGACTGATTAAGCTGAGAAGAAATTTTGTGTGATATGTGGAATGGAAGCAAATGAGTGTTTTGTGGCACGGTGGATCATTCATCTCACATTTGCAACTAATCCATCTCTGCTGATGGTCACTGCTATTCACTAACCAGTGCTACACAGGAAAGGACAGAAACTACCCAGAACAGGAGGGCAATTTGTTTACTGCAGTGGTAGAAATAGTGGTATCAAAGTTTGCTCTCCTTTTCTGCCAGATATGAATCAAGTCACGTACTGTCTGATCCAAATGCAGTCATGCATATATAATCAATCCCTAACAGGCCCAGCAAAAAACCGTAAAGTTTCTGTCAGACTGGGTACAGGATGCAATTTCTCCAATAAGAACCTATTTGCTCAGAGTTGCTGGCTTTGATATCTAGGCTGTTTTTAACACTTGTACAAAAATGAGCCCTAGTGCAGGCTGGAGTGAGGGCAGGGGCAGAGGTGAGGGTGCTTCATGAAAAGCAACAGGCTCTACAAACTAGTGCTGCTTCATGATTCTCACAATGCGATGAAGTGAGTCCGTAGTGGCAAAAGCCAGATACTGACAACAAAGCCAGTCTTCCAGAATAATTCCACAGTCCCTCTCCAAGGACTTCTCTGCAAACTTGATCATCAGCAGCGTCCTTTTTATGTCCAGCCAGTTCTGAAGTATAGCATCTCTCCGTGAGGGGTTGGAAGAGGTACTCAGAGCGTGGAACAAGTCCTCACGTGGACCCCAAAGCAAACACTGCAGGATTCCCTTGGCTTCTGATATCAGGATCCTCTCTGAAGGGTTGGGATTCAGCAGGCAGCTGGCAAGTTGTTGAAGCCCTTGAGAGTAAAGGGAACGACATGGAATCTTCGGGAGATCAGCACGAGTGTACTCCTTCTCTTTCAGCTCTGGATTCTCATCGAAGGGGTTGGGTAAGTGCAGCATTTCGTAGATGAGGATGCCAGTCTGGAACTCATCACACTTTTTGTATTGTGTCGCGGTGATGATTTCTGGAGCCAGGCGGGACTGATCCCGTAGGACCTCTGGATCCACCATGTGACTCTTCTGCTTGGCCTGGGAGAAATTGCTCACTATGAGCCTGGCTGGGCAGGCGGTGTTGGGACCGTGCTCCATGGACTCGGGGCTCAGGGGGCTGCCTCCCGGCCTGGAGTGAACCAGCAGCAGGTTCTCCAAGCGCAGATCACAGTGTGTGATGTGATATGGCTTCAGGTGCTCCAGGCCCAAGCACAGCTGCAGGAGGAGCAGACAGACCTGCCTCTCGTACAGGTCGGGGCTTTTGGCGTGGCGGGGCTCGGACTCGCGCACGAAGTCGGCCACGGTCAGGTGCGGCACCTCCCGTGTGATGACCACGACGCGGCTGCGGGGCCGGCTCAGGGTCCCCGCCCTGCTGGAGCCCTCTCTGGCTGCACCCTCCGCACTGGAAGCCGCGTCTCTGTTCTTCTGCTCGGGTTCTTTCTCCTCTTCCTCCCGCTCTTCTTCTTCTTCCACGTCCGGCGCGTCATCGTCCTCCCACGGCAGGAGACGGACTGGCACTTCCGCCAGGAAATGGCCACAGTCCTGCTGGATGTTGAAGTTGATGGCCAGGCTCTGCCGGATGGACAGGCTGTGATAATACTGCTGGGACTCCTTGGCTTTGCTCTTACAAATCTGGGGGAGGAAAATAAACAGACATAACTCTTAGATTTCTAAGTTCTGTATCCTTTTTATAAATATGTATTTTGTTGATGGGATCTACAGACTAGACCTAAACACAGGCAATAAAAAATTCTTTACTGAACTGACCTTGGCAGACTATCTTAAGGCACCCAAACTGTTTCCATTGGCTAGTAAGCAACTGCAGAGCAATACATGCAGGCACCTCTCCCTCTGCATAGATTATCCAATGGAAAATACAGTTCAGGCAGGTTGGTTTTTAATCAGAATAGCAGCAATATATGGCCAATGCACAGTGAAGCTTATTCACAGTTACTTGATTATCCGTATCATTTTCTTGCATGTTTTTCTCTCGGCTTTAAGTGAAGCTTGAACAAGACAAAAATAATCAATAGCAATAAAAGATACAAAGAAACATGCACAGAGTGTGTGACCAAACGATTGCAAGTGGCTGAGTCAGCACGGCATGACAAGTTACAACTGGATATTGGCAATTCAATCCATGAGCTGCAGCAGTGTCATGTCTGCAGTGAGGGGAGGGTGTGCCATGGCACAGCTGCTGGTAGCTCTGCTTGGCTGTGGCTCAGGTGAGGGATGGACACTCATTAGAACACGGTACTTTAACTGCTTTCAATCATCTGTCATGATCCTAAGTATATGTTTGGGGGTTTTGTGCCATATAGAGCTGTATTTAATTTATGCCCAGTAATATCTTGTTGATATATACATTATCAGCATAATAATTGTCCTTATTAATCATTTGCACTGCCATAACAACTGGCAGTTCCAACCCCCTGACAACAGTCACTGGACAAGCCCTATTAGGGCCTCTGTTCTAAGGCATTTACTGATTAAAATGACAAAGACTCAGGCAAGCTGATATTTGCATATTAACCTTAGTCCTACTGAATTCAGAGAGATCATTCAAAGCATGTGAGGTTAAGTGTATGTTTTAATCTTTACATGGTTAAGTGTCCAAATATTCACTTGCTACATAATGTACAGGTCTTAACTGCAAAGCTCAGACAAGAGAGGAGACATCTTTGTCCAGATGAAGTTACAGCTTCCCTCAGCTCATCTCTGAAAGCTGAGATAACAAAGGTTAGTAAAAGTCAGAACTTCTGCAGGGTAAGTTATAAACCTGCCTTTCACTAACACGCACACACACAAGTTTTTCATCTAAGATATGGTTATGTGGTTAAGAAACATAATTAGAACAACTATATGTTAAGAAACATAATTAGAACAACTATATGTTAAGAAACATAATTAAATCGGGGATTTAATCTTTTATGCTTGTTGATCAGAAAAGTGCATTGTCAGATCATATGGAAGTGGACACAAGCTGTACCAGCATTTTGCTTGTCCTCCTGTCTTCGATACTGTGCATATTTCCATACCTCACAAGCATTTACATTTCCCTATTATGCAACTATAACTCAAACTGCCTGTTTATAACTGCCATGCACAAGCAAAGCAGGTTTGAAAAATGCATTTTCTAGTCAATTTTATTTAAGAGAGGAAAGCAATTTTCTGAAATGTTGACAGTTACTCTGTTTATACAGCGGCTCTTGCTCATTTAAATTTTCAAATGTATTTTATCCTTTTAGAGGTGAAGTGAGTTGTCAATGGAATGCATTTGCTCCTGCCCCCCCTTCTCTCGAGGGTTACAAAAGCTTAAAAAAAATACAGCAAAGATATAGCAATAACCTTTAATAAAACAATAACCTTTGAATTATATATGAAAAGAAAATGCCAACTGATTGTGTTTGAGACTGAAGGCCCCTGATTGATTAAATACTTAATACTGCACAGAAAACAGAACTAGAAGAGTTGTACAGACCCATATATATGTGTTGTATATACACACATTGTGTACATCAAATCTGTAAGAAGAGCTATTAAGGAAAACAAAATAGTTTTGTCTTCTATGCCCTTCAAGTCCATGGCCTTTTTCTTGTAGCCAGCCATGGGGACAATAAATTCCAACTGCAGAAAGGGTTCAGTGTCTTGTAATCAAACCTTTAGTTTTTAAAAATACTTAACTGACCTAATTAAAAAAAATAAACTAATTCTGAAAGAGTTTAATTTTAAGGTCAAGCTTACCTGCTGATAAAAACAGTTGAAAACCACACTTGGCCTTAGCTACTGCACTATATTTGATCCACAGAGGATTTCTAATGCCACCTGCCAGCTAAAACTAATATTCTATTAGGAATATATAATCCACCAAAGTATTTGCTCTGAAAACAATATACACTTCTCAATTTGGTGAATACAAGGCCTTTTTTAAAGCTTATGGAAAGGATTTCTCCTTGCCTACAGAAAAAGAAAAGCAAAGGAGTCGAGACTTTTTCCTAGTTTCTAATTTTAGGCCTAGTCAGCCTCTCTTTCCTGCTTCCTTCAGAGGAGGTTCTCAGATTTACTCCTGCATTTCAGTTAAAATTGGGGATAGGCTTTGCACCTCTCAAAGTCAGCCCTGGATCGCTCATTTTAGAAAATATGGCCAATCCCAGAATTGTGAGAGAGGAAAGGAAACTTGCACCCACCCTCTGGGGCTGTGGTAACGCTTCCCTCCCGTGTGGCACTGCCTGGCTGTGCCCTCTGCACCAAAGGCACTCAGCACTGGGGCAGAGGGTGATGCCTCTGCTGTGCCCATTCCCTGTTCCTGATGCCTCTGCTGTGCCCATTCCCTGTTCCTGATGCCTCTGCTGTGCCCATTCCCTGTTCCTGAGCCACTCCCACCAGCCTGCAAGGCAAACCCCAGCTCTGTGTTACCAGCTGGATCATTCCTAAGAAATGCCTCTCCAGTCTACCAAACCCACCCCAAACCAGAGTTATGCTTTTTATCTTCTTTGTCTTTCTTCCTGCTCTTCAATCCCAACTTCACATTAAGGTGACAGCCCTTCTCCCTGCTGATTCAATAAAAACTGATCCCCCATTCCCACCCTTGAACGTTACACCTTTACAGCTGGGGAGGGTGGAACTTTCCCCCTCCTCTTTGCTTTCTTTTTGAAAAAACCCAGCCCTTACTTCTCCTGCCTTTATTCCTAATCCTCTGATTATTGGTGCTCTTTTCTGGATTCTCCCCACTTATTACATCTTTCTGAAGAGTGGTATAATGAATATAATATTCCAAGTTAAGACCTTTCCAGCACCAAGCAGAGCTGAGCTTTGTATATAATGATCCTTGGAACGCTTCCCAGGACAAGAAGTTCCATTAACTCCATTGTTGACAAGCAGTGAACACTGCAGTCTGAAGCCATAGCAGGGCCAAACCTTCCTCAATATCAGTTCTTAAAGAGGTTTTTGTTTCAGACTCTTCTCTTTATATCAATAAAACAGAATTTAAATTATCAACAAACCAGAAATTAAATACTAAATAATACGATGATTAAAACCAATACTAAAATGACTGCATTCATGAAAAGAGTTTTTCCCTCCTTATTCTGCTGTTAAGGAATATAACCAATAGAGGAAAAAAAAATCTAATCCCACAAATGCCCAGTGGTGATGGCTTTTGGACTCTTTTCCTTCTCTTGTTTAATACAGAGAAGTAGATGGGTGCACAAACATCGATGCAGTATCTACAAAGAGAGCTGAGATGTGATGAGAGATGTATTTTCTGCTTCTTGCCTTTTGTTTACAAACACCATGAAGTGAGAAGCGGAGGAGGCAGCTGGGTTATTTCAGGCTGATTAAATTGCTGACTACACCAACACCAAAACTGGTACACCAGGCACTCTGTAACTGCCAAGGGGAAGGGAAAGCTGGGCTGTCTGCAGGCAGCACCCAAACCTGGGGTGTAATAACAAATCAGACACCTGCCTGAATTCAGAAAGCAGTTTCTAGAAGACAGATCTGCAGTAACCTGATGTCTCTGTAAGAGGCTACTCTTCAGGTACCTCCTGGGGTTTTATACTGCAGTGTTCACATTCTGATTTACAAATATCTGGTTAGAATGGGGAAAATGTACTGAAAGCAGTGGAGACAAACTTAGTTTTCTTCTTGATCTGTTCAAAGACAGTTTACAGAATTCAAATTTTATTTATTTCCTGTACTATGCTATCATTTCCTGAGTTTCAGTTTTTACTTGGAACTCTACTTTATATTACTATTTTGCAACGGAGTAGTGAATACTAGTGTTTAATACTATCAATGGCTAATCATTCTCACCCAAGCATTTTGTAGTGGAATAACGCCACTATCACCTCAAACTATCACCTGAATGACCAAGAATTATAATTTCCAAAATGGTTTGAGTTAGAGGAAGTTATGGGACCAAAGTCTGGACTTACATTTGAAAAGATTTAGGGAACAAGTTGTGACATTTGATGGCCTTCCTAACAAGTGCTTTCCACTGCTTGTGATGCGTTGCTGAAGAGTGCACACAGAGCTGCTTTTCTGTTTGTGATGGTTAAATGCTGTGTCAAAGCTGTGAATAAATGTACAGCCCAGTTTCCTTTGCATTTTTAAAGCTTTTGTCTGTTCCAGTTGTCTACTTGAAAAATATGGAAATCCTGTTGCCTTTTACATACATAATATGTTTTGAGCACTTATTTTTTGGCAGAGGAAAAAAAGGTGAAAATATATAACACCCCCAGAAAGTAGGATCAATCAGTCCTTTACCCTTTGCTTTAATGAGCTACATCCAGCTGAGCTATGGAGATATGGAATGTGATAACAGCTGAAAGGAAGCTGTTGATAAGGGCTTGGCCAGCCTCATTTCTAGAGCTGATAAAGAGCTGGTTGTTCAAAAGATGAAGCAATGCTGGTAAAAAGCCCTTCCTTATGATGCAAGAAAACCATGAGAAAAAAGAAGAGGTACAAGTAGGAAGGAATGGGAAGTATCCATCTTCCTTTTCACTGGAATGCAGTCATCATGCAGCTTTAATGCATCCACAGGAACTAAACTTCTGTCATGTTTACAGGGACAGGACAGGTTTCTTTACATCCTGCCATTTCAATTTTCCCCCCTGCTCCCAGCCCAAGAAGCAGGATTTGGGTGTTGCAGAGCTTCTACAAACTGTTCTGCATTAGCTTTTATTTTTCCTTTATGAGTCCCGTAGCCTACTGTGCCATCAGCTGACTTTCACTTCCCCAGCAGGGAATCTCATTTCCACTCTGTCCTATGCATTTTACAGGGCATCAGTGAACTTAAAGCACGATGAATATTGTGGGAAATGAATTTACAAGTGCTGAAAATGAGAAACACAGAAGATCACAAAGACTGCACCATCTGTGCTACTTTGTTGTATTGCACAGAGGGACAACTGCAAATGAAATTCTGTGTAGAATGAAAGCTTGCTAATCCCAAATTGATAGCTTGTTCTTGGCACAACCTTGTTTTCCAAGGAGGCCAGTTTGATATCTGATTGACCTCATTTTCTTGATCTGGCCTTGGAATAGAGCTTTGACTTCTTAACAATGTGCCAAAATACAGAATTCTGTTCTGCCGTGACTGAACTGGGAATGGGCTGGAAGTTAAATGTACATTTTATTTTGATCTGAGGCACAAAGTTCTGGGATGACCTTAAATAACACTTCCGTCAAGAAGCTCCACTAGGAAACTAAATTACCAAAAAAACACCTTAGCACACTGTGACAAACTGAACATAACTAGAAAATAATTGTCAGCTGCAACCAGGAAACTGTCAGCCAGGCTCAGCCCAGTACTATTCACTTCTGCATTGCTCTATTTTACAGCTGGGACAGGAGCCTTACAAGAAATCCTCAGGTTTTACTGCTAGAAAAACTTCTGCCTGCCCTGCAGCAATCAAAGCAATAAATTTTAACTGCTCCTTTTGAGCTGTTTGCACCCTTGCAATTCCTGTTATCCCAGTGAACAGCACTGCACCATGTGCCTGTGGCCAGAGCGAGCCCAGCAGGGTTTATGGCTGTGCTGTTCCGTGTGGACTCGGAATCACGTGTCAGTCTGGGATGTTGGACAGTGTTTGCCTTCAAAGTTTCATATTGAAAGTGGAAGTAGTTTATGTCACTGACATAATAACCTCGTCTATTACTCATTCTGAGTCATATATTTATTTATTTTTTTAATAAAAAAGCTCCCTGTGACATCACTGCGTTATTTGGTCCCTGTGGGGACACTGAGAACTGAACTCACCCAGTCCCTGTGTGCAAAGAGCTGCTGCTCTCTGCTTTCACTTCAGTGTAACCTTTTCACCACATATTTGGAATTACTGGTAAGACTGTGGTTTCAGGGGAATGTTTATCCATATTGTCCCAGATCTACCAACTACTTAGGAGGTGGTACTGCACTTAGTGAAAAAAAAAACCACCTCAGGGTCTGGAACTTTTTGGAAACCTTCCTTGTAAGGAAGCTTTTATTTTCCATTTGAAAAAGTAGTTTTCTGATCACAACTTATGTACTGGTTTTATTTATAATGTTTCAGTCCAAATAATTTCCACATGGCCTCCTGCAACTTTTTTGCACAGGGTGTTTACGAGAAGATTACGTGAGAGTGAAGCAAAAAGCATAATGCAATGTTGTGAAACAACACACCCCTATAAACATTTCCTCTAATACCCACCCCAACAGAACAAGTTGTGCTCATTCTCCACCAAATTTATCAGAGCATCTTTAGCTGGTGAAACCACCAGAACACAAAAGTTCATCTGTACAAAAGTTTCATTCTTCTAAATTTAATTCAGCAGTAGTCAAATGGTTAAAGCTGAATTTTTAACAGTGCTTTTGTAGTTCTATATTTGGAGTTAGAATATTATTTTTTTTTAAATTTATGCATTAAGACCATTAACACCATCTAGGGGTCAATCTCTTGTTTTCTATGAAGAGAATAATAATTATAAAATCTCATTATCACATTTTTTCTCAGATCTAATACTAAAATCACAGAACTTAAGAACTGTCTGAACTGTTAGCCAGTGTTGCTTGGGTAGTTCTGCAAAACTCAAAAGAGCTACATAAATTCACACTGCCTGAAGATGTGGCTCCATGTACACTTTCAAAATGCATTTCTAAGACTCGATCCAAAACAACAGGAAGACCATATTTTGGATTCAATAGGCACATTGGTAATTTTCATCTCTCTTTTTTTCCATCCTGTTTTGGGGACGAGGGATTTCAAATGGCAGGAAGACACAGCTGATTTATTGAAGGTAGATTATTATGTAATTTGGCTCACACAAAAAACACCCACGGTAGTAAAAACTGGCGTATTTGTTAAAGCTAAATTCTCCAAATCTCTGTGTAATGTCATAGCAATCTGCTGTTATGAGCTTTTGGACAAATCTGAGCCTGGACTGATGGCTTGTAAGTAAAAGATCAACCTGGGGCAAACATCTTCCCCTATCACATTAAGTGCCTGGGAAGGTATTTTTCAAGAGTAACTTTTCCTCTCCTTGTAACAGCACAACAGCTCCTGGTGACCTTGAGCTCAAGGATATTCTGTGGACATTTCACTCACATCTACTCCTGTGCAATAAATATTGTTAGTCTGAGAACTATTTTTAAGACACCTGAATTATGAAAAGGAAAATTTAGCACCTATTTGACCATGTTACATTGCTGTTCTTTCTTCTCACTGGCTTTCTACAGGGGAAGTGTATTTAGGAGGACAGCAGATAACAAAACAACAACAGGTCTTGCCAGTCAGGGAATGCTTTAAAGGCACAAGTGTGATGTGCAAAGAGGTGTCACGTTAGTGACAGCTCAAACCTGCCTTTAGAGAAAAATACCATGTTGGGCCCTAGAAGCAACCATTTGCTATTAAAACAAAACAATCCAAGCCAGTAATAAGTAATGCCAGGGTGCTGATTCTGCAACCAGAGCTGATGGCCAGAGACACGTTCATGGCCTGGTTCTTTCTTGGCCACTTTGTACCAAGTGGCATCATCCATGTTTCATTTCACATCTTCTGAGGTCCTTAATAATTAACAAAATATAAATGGTTATGCCCAGAAATCTGCCTTAAAAAAGATGCCTTTTCAAGTTTCAGAAAAACATATCAGTTGCACCAATTTGACCTTTTATTTTTTCGTATCTTACTTGCAAACAATTGTGCAGGAGTGGTACCAACATTTTGTTCCTGTAAAGCACCACCCTTGTGAGAATGTCAGGGTGATCTGGAAGGAATAACTCATCAGGCCTCACACATCCGTGTCGGGTAATAAATGTTTTATCTCAGTTTCAACAAGGAGGAGTCAGAAGTTTGGTGATTTACTCAAGGTCATGCAGGAAGCCTGACAGAGCTATGAGTCTCAGCTGTCCTTCTCACTATCTTCCTACCAGATAAGCATTGAGAAATGCAGAGATACAGTGCTCAGGAAGAACTACCTATATAAAAGTCCATAAAGCAACAACATCTAGTGAGACAGCTGCCAACTAAGCATTAATATATTAGCAGTAAATCTAGTAAATTTTATTTCTTTAATGTGTTAGCTGAAGAATTTATAAGGCAACACTGATGGCTGTAGACAGAGCTTTTGAAAGGCTGGTAAGGAACACTGGTGAAAATGTAAGACCCTCTATGGGAACATAAGAGATATATTAGCCTAGAATTTACACTTAGAATTACACGGCTCTGAAAATGGAAAATTTTCAGTTTTTTAGGAAATCCTTCCTAACTAAGAGTGATGATTTAAGTTCATCCCCATGCAGATGAATCAAAAGGATTTTTTCACTGTGAGTTTGACCCATGTTAAAATAATACAGCTTTTCTTTCGAAATGTCATCAAACAATGGTAAAGACTGAGATGTGTTCATTTTGTTCCAGTAATTTTGGAACTGCAGTAAAAACATGAAATTAAACAGCAGATACCAATGTCACACATGGCTCTTGACAGAATCATAGAATCAGCTGGGTTGGAAGGGACCTCCGAGATCATCAAGTCCAACCCTTGATCCACTACTGCTGCAGTTGCCAGCCCATGGCACTGATGCCACATCCAGTCTCATCTTAAAAACCTCCAGGGACAGAGAAACCACCACTTCCCTGGGCAGCCCATTCCAATGGCTGATCACCCTCTCTGGAAAGAAATTCTTTCTAATATCCAACCTAAACCTCTCCTGGCACAGCTTAAGACCGAGCCCTCTTGTCTTGCTGACAGTTGCCTGTGAAAAGAGATCAACCTCAAGAAGTAAGAGCCTGTATTTTGGGCAACCTACTTTTCACCCAGCGCTGCTGCCAGCAGCACCCACACGTATTCGCAGGCCCCGTCACTACTGGCTGTGGTGCAGAGCGTGGTGGTTGTCACATTTTGTCACTGATGCCCGGGGTTACCATTTTTCAGGCCCCTCTTACCTTGACTGCGTAATTGTTGAGGGGATCCTTGGCGTAGGAGGCCGGGTAGTAGACGGCGTCGCCGGCCTCGCAGCAGGGCTTGTCGCTGGTGAGCCGGAAGTCGGACCAGCTGTCCACCCCGAAGCGCAGCTGGTCCTTCTGCCCGGCCATGAACAGATCCTCGCATTTCAGTGCCAGCTTCTTCAGGGAGTCGGCGTGGAGGCCTCGGATCTTACCCACCACCTCCTCCCGGTTCTCGATCCCACGGTAAAGTGCTTGTCTCTGCGGCTTCTGCACCCCCCTGCCCTGCCTGGCCTGCGAGAGGTGCCTCCCTGTCAGGGACTCCATGCTGTTGGAGCACCGGTCCTTAATACTGATAGTGGTTAGGCTGGAAACACTGTTCGTCGCCGACGTGGTTGCCCTCAGTTTTTCCGTAGGCCTGTCCAAGGAATCTCCGGACTCGTTGTCCAGTACCTTGAGCTCCAGGCTGACAGAGGAGCAGGCACTGCTCGCTTCCCAGTTAGTGTCGATGTCGTAGGTGGGGTTGGCCATGATGCACAGGTTGTTCTCCAGAGCCTGCTTCTGGAGATCTCTGGGAGTCGGCTCGGTGTTAGCTCTCAGGATTGTTTTCTTTGGCAGTGGAGGTGGTGTTGGCTGCAAGTTGTTCACTGTCTCCTGATCTACCAGTCCTCCAAAGGCAATGGCATCATCCAGAGCTCCCTTCGGTTGCCTCGGCTGTTTTGGAGGTATCATGGTTGCTCTGGACTGTCCTGTGGAATAATAGTAACAGAAGATTAAAGTACTTTGCATCTGCTGCTCATATTTGTGCTCTGCAAAGAAGTTCAAGGCAAAACATAAAGCTGACTAGGACCCTCCCAATATTTAAAAACCCCTAAATACATACATGAAAAGATGAACTAATTACTAAGCAAAATGACCAAATCAGCATCCCATACATGTCATTACATCCAGTCAGACCCTGGCATATATATTAACATCAGTGTCAGTGCCAGCAATGCTGCCACTTTACCTCCCACCTGATTAATGACAAGAAGTGCAAGGAAAAACCAAACATCAATTTGGCACTTTGGCCAAAGTCCAGTTTCAGCAATTACACCCAGCCACCCATAATTTCTTCTGCACTCAACTATAATATTATTCCTGACTTCCTATTCAGATGTGCCAAAACTATGGGTAGACAGCAGTCCATAAATTCCCATAAATTGGGAAATGTGCCAGAGAGGCTGAAAATCTTATTTCAGACTGGAAATCAGAAACCTTCAGACACAAATAATGTAGTTTAGATACTTCTGTGGTCACACTGGGAAGTCAGGATTGCCCCAGCAGATTCACCAGCTGGAAACAAGGAAATTAAGCCTATTTTCACTCAAGCTGAGAAGTGTGTTCCCATCAAGAATAGAGTCGTATTTTGCCAGAAATATTTTTTACCCTACAATTTAAAACTCACACCCCTTTCCCCAACTGTAACTTCTCTAATACATTTCCCTTCCTCTCTTGCCATGGTACCTTTGTTGGCAATATTGTGTTCATAGATAATCTGACCCGGCTTCAGTCAAGAAATTCCAAACAGCAGGTTACATACACACAAGCACAGCATTTCCACTGACAGACTGCTTTCAGACACTTGTGTGAACACAGGGAAGATAAACTTCCTGTCATGTGCTTTGAATGGCTTTTATAGAGGGCAATTATCTTTTGTAAGTGCCAGAGTCCTTGGAAATGAAGAACAAATAAATGACAATAATGTAATGGAGAACAAAAACTAATAAACAGACAATACAAATGACCAACTTGCTGCTCTGGGACAATTAAACAGTTGTTACTCATATCAAAATGAGATCTTTCCACTCTTAATAATCAACTGCTACTTTCAGAGAAATTATTTTATAAGCTTTCTACTACTCCTGGGAGGTTCACTATCACAGTAAGGTAGGAAGCCAATTTTTACAGTTGCAACACAGCAGACATGAAAACAATAATTGCAGTGGAGCATCTTTTCTAATAAGGGAACAGACACCTTGACTATTTGACTGTTTATTACGTGCTGAATTATAAAATTGTTTAGACTGGAAAAGACCTTAAAGATCACTGAGTTCAACTGTTAAACTAACACTGCCAAGCCCACCAATCCTTGTAAAGAGAGGGCTGAACTGGAATGCTGAACCAAACTGGGGGATCTCACATTCAGATGTGAATTACATCACTTCAGTCCATTATTAATAATAAATGACTTTGCAGTCTATTAAAAATAAAAGATAACCTTTTTTACTTTTTAAGATACGTTGTTATAGTTTTTCTGAATATGAAAGAATCCTAGATCCACTTGGCCAGGGATGCACAAAAACCTGAGTTAGAATGCTGAAATGAACTCCTGATTTCAAAAGATCAAAGAGGATTGTATTTTTATATGTATCCACAAACACAACAGCCTTGCATCCTGCATTTTTAACAATCATTCTCTTTTCAGTCATTTCAAGGAGACAACATCACAAATGGAAGTTCTATCTCTGTCTTTTGTTTAAGCTCCAGAAACCCTCAGAAGAGCCTTACGGATTTAATGATAAGCCTGGCTCTTCCAATGTTTAGAAAACCGAATTTGGAGCAGGAAATTCTATCAGCTTTGTACATACCCGATCTTCAGGGAAGATTGCAAATCATTTTCAAGGTTGCTTAAAGAAATTTAACACTCAGGGGCTCAGGGGACTCCACTGCTCCTTTGTGCTCGTGGTGCTGCAGCCAGAGTGCTCTGCAGGGGCAGCTCTGCCTCTCACTGCTGTGCTGCAGCCTCTGACCCTGGGGCCAGCTGGGCAGTGCAGGAACTCTGTCAGAAATCTCCCCTTTGCAGAGGTGCAGAGTGGTTGGATTCAGAGTCAAAAGTAGAATTGATGTCTGCATGGCAGACACGCATCCAGACACCACAGCCTTTTACTTAGTCCTCAGACAAGTTCATTCCTACTTCATATCCAATTTTCTTACTCATCCAAACACGTGCCCTCTTCCACAACTACTTACTCTTACCAAATCTGTGACCTATGTACTTCTCCCCAGCAGCACTGTGTTAAAGATCACTTGCCTGTTTTTCTATCCTTCCCCTCTTCCCCACTCTGCTGAGACAGCCTGACTGCTGGGGTGGGAGACAGGACACTACTGCAGGAGGATCTGCTAATCCAAGGACTGCATTGATGCCGGAGAGAACAACAAGAAAACAAATGAGAGCAAGATGTACATCTGAAGGAGCAGCAGCAGGAGCAGGAGCCCTCTCCAAGAAAGGTAAGATTTTTAACAGTGTTACTGTTCAATTCTCTTGTTTTCTTTCTGCTTTACTGGCCCTGCCCTCCAAAAGCCATTCATACAGAGGAGGGCCTTGAGACTGCAACCAGTGCTGCTGGTTTTCTGCAGAAGGGATTTTCTGCAGAAGTATGGAGGGGGTGGCAGGATCCAGAGAACTGCACGTACAAGTCGTTCTGCAGTCGCTGTTTCAAGTATTCTCAGCTGAGGAAAATGAGTTTGTCAAACATGCCACGTTACAGTGTTGTTTCTCCCCACAAGAACAAGTTTTCCATATTGAAATCTACCCATCTGTATTACACAGTTGAAAAGCTCCATGTCTGCGCTGTTGCTGTGCTGAGTTCTCAACACTGCACATTTGTTTCATACCCACTGGGCCAGTCTTTCCAGCTCAGCTTTCCTGAGGCAGGAAACTTCACGTCCCACATTTTTAGAAATTCATTGCCTAGCAAGAAAAAAGCTGTCTTAAATGTTGTCCCTGTCAAAGGCACAATAATATTCTTCTGCATAGAAGTACCAGTAATGCATTTATTTCTTTTTCTTGCCTATCCTTTCCTTCTCCCCTTGCATGCTTAAAACCATCGTTTCCTTACCTACTGCACAGGCTCACCAACACTGCAAGGTTCAGCCTGAGCCACACTCTTGGGAGGCAAGTGAAAAGGGACAATATTAGGCTACCAGTTACAGAGAGCTTTGAAGTGGATTCCAGTCTGCTCAATGACAGAAAAAAATTTAACTCTTTTCAGACAGCAGCTTTCTGGAGAGCTTTAAGTAATTCTACAGTTCAATAACATCTTCCATTACAGAATCTCACTACACTATTTAAATATTAATGCTTAAGTCTCTAGACACCATGCAGAGGTCTGAAACTCTAAAAGAGCTCTGAAAAAGGCATTTAAATGTTATTTTTCTGGGTAACTGATTTATCATCAGACTTTGCATTGCAGCCTGTTGATGTGAGCGGGTGAACCTATCAAATCTGACATCACTCCTTAATAAACTCTTACCCTGACTGATAAATATAACCAAACCATGAAAAAAACCCACAAGGGCATAAGGTGCCTTCCCACCACTGCAAAAGCTCCCAGCATAATTCACAGCCCCAAATCCAACAAATGCTGCACGTGTACACCACTATTCCATAATCTTGTTCAGTACAGAGATTTCCATGATATCCTGCATTACACTCAGTTGTTTACTCATTTATTGTTAATTTAATAGATAAAAATCTCACTGAAACGCTGAGATATGTAACAGAGAGGAAAGCTGACATTTGTTAAGTAACATTTGGGATCCACCTCCAGTTTCTCAGCAATAATTTGAGACTGGGCACAGCTCTCTGGTAATGGGCTGCAGATCCCAGGAGCTTCAGCTTGTCTGCTGGGTGACTTGGCAGGTCCTGCTGCCCACCCTCCATCACACCACACTGATGGTATTACCTGTGCTAATCATATATTACACAAAATGCACCAGACTGGTGTTATAATCACTGGCTGTCACTGAGCTGTCAGTTTTAGTCAGCAGTGATTTCAGCACCTTATTTACAGCCTGGCTAAAGCACACTGCCCTGGTCTAAGTTACTGACTGGGGCAGTGCTCCATGGCACATGCTGTGATTTGGGATTTTTTCCAATGTCAGCAATCACAAAACCTGGAAACTTCGCCTCCTTTTTGCCCATTTCTTTAAGTGTAAAGAGGAAAGTCGCTGATAATGAAATAACCTATTCTTTTTTCAATGACACAAATACTATCCTGAGTATATTGAGAATACCTTAATCTACTTACAGCGATGCAAATTCAATCAACTCAATTTCCCCAACAAATTCAGACAAAGACAGAACAATTTAAAGGTTTGTAAAGGAAAGGCTTTTAATTATCTAGTCTATTGTCTTCCTTATCATCAGCTACAGGGCTTACCTGAATTAACTTGTGTTACAATAAAGGCACCCATTATAAAAAGAAATATCCAGGCCCTATCTTACACATTTGAACATTTGTTTCTGCATCTCGATTCAACTGGCAGCCCCTGGAGTTTGTTAAATCAGTTGATACCAGAGGTATCCCTCATGACAGTTCTGCTCACCCCATGAGCATCCACACCACAATCAAGCCAGACTCTTGCTTTGATAAGCTGAACACACTGAGTTTCTTAAATTAGTCCTCATGAAGTGCCTGCCACAATACATGGCATTTGCAAAGCTGTTCTTTAGAGCCTGTACAGTTTCTTTAAATATTCTTCTCAAATTGTGGGCACCAGGGCTTGGCTGTGACCACAGCAGTTGCAGTGAAAAAATGAGACAGACAGAACTTCTCTCCTATTGAAGTTTTTTTCTATTTATACAGCCAGGAACAGTCTTTATCCTGTCATCATGGTGGGATCTCTTAAAAGCCCCAAGTCTTTTATATTGTACCTGATTCCCAGAGGAGAATCTTCTGCTTTGTAAGATTTGTCTCTTGGAAGGCCAAACCAAATATATTTGAGGGCAGTACCTGATATAAATTATTACCTGACTGCAGAGGACAATTTACCAAAGCTTGCAGTTATTTCTGTTCATGAACTTTCACGTGACATATGAGAACTGAAGATTAGACATTTATCAAAGTAGTAACATATTATCTGCTTTTAAATGAAAAACATAGAATATGGATCAGATTAGTATTTAAAATGAATATTGTGCATTATGCTGCAAATTGAGATGTTCACATGATGTATTTTACAAACTCCAAACTGCAGCTGGAGCAAGAGTCAAATGTGGTGTAACTTCTCATATTATCCTTTCTTCCAGTTTCACATACCACTATTTGTTAATTCTACAAAAGATAAGACTTTGCTGCCTGGGTGATGCAAGATGTGAAAACAAGTAGGAATTATTCTCTGTGCCCACCTAGGAGTCTCTCTGCTGCCATCAGAACTAGAAAGTGAGGTTGTTTGAATAAACCAGAAGACCTTTGAATAGCAGCCAGAGAACTCAGTGCCATTTAGGGAAGCATTGCTCCTAACAACAGGCAGCCAGGCTGAGCCAGACCCAGGCAAGCCTTAAAGCTGACTTAACTCTTTCATACCTAAAATTTCCTTTGGTGACAGCAAAGCTCAAAGTGACCCAAGGATGAGAAGATTTTGAATAAAATGCCAAGGGGTTCAGTTTTATGTGGTTTTGAGAGGGAACATTCAAACTCTGGAACAGCACTAACACAAGCCAGGGCTGATGGAAGGGATCACCAGTGTTTGGGTTGGAAGGGATCCCTTGAGATGGTCAGGCAGGGTCAGCTGGAGTGGGTTGTCCAGGATCATGTCCAGTCAGGTTTTGAGTATCTCCACAGATGGAGATTCCACAACTACTTTGGGTAAGCCCTTCCAGTGTTTAATGGTATTTTACTGCATGGGCTAAACGTGCTGTAAGCAGCTCTGAGGGAGCTACATCTACTGCCTGCATTCTGCCTGCATGGAGCTATCTCCTAAATACAGAAAATACAGATACAGCTATATATCTCACTAAATTGAAAATAGTTCATTAGACCTTTGAGTAATTCACCATAAAAATATAAATTTTAGTTTTCCTCCTCAGAGGAAGAGTTTCTTGGTAGATGTTACTATCACTCTTGGGCAGGGTATTTTTCCACTTTATGCTTTACAAACGATATCTAATGAATGTTTTAATAGCAGAATACACTGATAAGTTCACCGCTAATTCACATTCGAGCAAAAAAATGCAACACTATCACTGACTGTCTAAGGAATGTAGGCACCTGAGGGTTTAAAATTTAGCCCTTGATCCCTGAAACATGTATGGACCTGCCAAACCCCCCGTACTCATGAGCCATCTCAACACAGTCAGTTTACTCTTGGCCAAGCACTTAAGAAGTTGGTGTGTTTA